GGAATAATCCACCAATTTCTCAAAATTAAATACTATCTACAGATTTTCATCTGTAGATCGATATTTACATTAAATATAACGCGATCCCACTGTGCTCGGTTATTTTTAATATGCCCTTAAAACGCAACTTTGTGGAATAAAAAGAAAAAATGCAATTATTTTATACACCAGTCAAAGATAATTCACTAGTGGTTTTTATTCAACTATTTCTAATGTGTAGACCTATTTTAGTTACTCATATTTCTATTCGATGTTCAAGTTAAATTTTCTCTTTTATCATCGCATAAAATTTTCCTTAGTTTATATTATTATATCAACACAACTGATACCACCATAGCAATTAACCTCACTGAAAATTTTAAAAATATCTATGTATTAATATTTATAATTATTTTTTAAAGGGAAGATATTAAATTTAATTGTGTTTTATCTTTACCAACGATTTATATATAACCATTTATAACAATTTTTTTTCTGTAAAAATCGTTAAAAATATAAAGTTTCATTCCTAGTGTGTTTAAAGATGATTTGGAATTTATGTAATATCTCAATTAATTTTCAGAGTTATAACACATTTTTATACATATGTAGATACGTGATTTAGAGTAAATCTAGAGAAAATTATGTAACTTTGCGTCTTAAAAGTATACATTCAATAAGAATTCAATAAGATGGGTAACAAAGAAATCGATACAATTTTAAAATTGACTAGATATTATTAATTTTTGTCTCTTATAGGCTTAATATATCTATTGACGATTTAGGCCTTTCACAAAAACAATATAGTGGTTTTGAAATAAATAATTATTCATACTGCTTAATATTTACTACTTAAAATACATACATATTTGTTGTATTATATAGATTAATAATTATCCTTAGGGCCCTAGCATCAGAACAACATCGAATCATTATTTAGATTCTTTGGTAAGTTTTCATGGATTTCAGTCAAATTAAAGCATTCAACATTATTATTATCAGAAATGTATTTAGAGTTCTGACGCCTCATGTAAAGTTTTATTGCCTCTCTTACATAATCCCCTTATTTCATATACTATTATTAAAAAAATACTGTCATCCCTTAATTACAAAAAAATTTATCATCCAGGCAATGGTACCCACGCGCTGCCCCTAAATACGTCCCTGATTATTATACGAATAATTTTTAATAACACAACGATTTAAAGATTACTAATAGTAAATAATATATTTATTTGTTACATAATTTATTCAGGACTATTTTTCATTGCCGGATAATATCATAAACAATTTTAAAGAATTATACAAAGATCAATTGAGTGACGAGAAAGTAATGACAATAAGTGAATTTCGTGATGTTATTAGGTATAAGCTTTGCTATAATCCATATAAATTCGGTAATATAATTGAAGAAGCTAATATTATAGGTACTTATCCAAGACATAATTGTAATTATAATTAAATATGTTTTTACAGATTACATTTTTTTAGTAAGATTGTTATCAACGGCTTACCTATTATATCCTAGGTTCATAATATATATTATACTCTCATATACACATTTTTAATATACTGTGTGAAAAATATTACTCGTTTAAGTTGATTTAGATTGAAAATTTTGGAATTATTGCACCCTAAAATTTTTTTACAAAATCCCTAGTTATGGCGAAATGAGAATAATGAATTTAAGAGTTAATACTTGAATTATATTTATTACAGATGATAAAGTTACTGAAAGTCAATTTTTAATTATGATTCAGAAAATAACACAACAAATTGATGATACATTGTATGATAATATGAGTAAACTTGCTATACCTGATAACTCAAAAATGATTACAACACAAGGACTAAAACTTGCTATGGAACTTACTAATATTTCGAATGTTAGGGACTACGACAAAGTAGGAGAATTATTGGCTAAAGGAAATATTATAGACGATAGTGTAGTGAACTATGAAGGTAATAAAAACTTTTTTTTTTTATTGATTTCTTCAATGTATTTTTACGTAAAAGCTACTTTTAAAAACTGTTACATAATTTTTACGATTTCATGGTTACAGCTTATATTTGATTCTACCAAATATTTTAAATTTAATGAAAAATAGCTAATTTGATAAATAGACACTTTACACATGGTATATCATCAAAAATACTAAGATTAACTGTCAAGAAAAAGAATTTTGCGTAAAAATCAAATAATTTATGATAAAAATATTTTATAATATTGTTATCATATTATATGATTATTTATTTAATCAGAATGAACAAATACTTGACAACTAACAAAATTGAGTAATTGAATTTACAAATTCATTTTAATTCATACAACTGTCTTAAGTCATAAATCGTTAATTTTATAATACGATTAAAGTAACTAAATTGACTTTTGCTAAATATGTATTATGCAATTAAAGTAAAATAATCTATATTTGAAAAAAACTAACAAACGTAATAGTTAAAATGAATGTTTATCATATATCTATTCATAATTAAGTAAATAATCAACTTATATTAATAGCGTATTATTTAAATAAAAAATAATTTGAATAACGTGTAAAATTGTCATTATTAAAACAAATATACAAGGATAAAAAAAACGGCGTTCTATTAGAGCTGTCCCGAAGATAAATATATGAGGGGGTGAAACATTTATTTATGTCGGTTAAATCTCTTTTTTTTTTAATTGTACACCATTTTTTAAATAATTTTTCTTTTAATATTTTCTATGATATTAAAAAATTGCCGACTAAAACTATTGTCAAGTAGGGACGTGTGATATCCTCATGCAACTCTTGGTATGGTTCAGCGTCCAACATGTTTTTAACATATATGATGTATTTTTAGTTGAATTATTAGTATATAATAAAATAAACTTTTCTTTATCAAGAATTTTAGCTGTTAAAAATATTCAATATTCTTATGTTGTTTTAGAATTTATGATTTATGTGATTATGAATTATGATACTCCTGAATCATGCCTGGAAAATAATTATTATGGTCCTTTATATCCAATCAAATGTAAACATTTTAGTTAATAATTTCTAAAAATTTACCATAATAAATTATATGTATATATTTTTTAATGCTTCGATAATGCATTTTACATTGTAATAAGTCATCATTTTAGTAATCGTTTGTCTTGTTTTATTGTATAATATACAAAACTACGGTTGTCGTGTATTTACTATAGAACTTGAATACATGTCGTCAACATGTTAATTTATTTAAACTCTATAATTAAATTAAATGTCTAAGTTATACTCATAAAATTATGATGATCAACTTTTATTTTTATACTAATTAAAATATCATTACTGTTTAATTTAAAATTTCATACTATTAAAATTATTATTATATCATTTCTTTATTTAGTTATCTATAAAGACTTGGTCAGTTCTTATGAATTTTTATATGAATATAATGTACTGTTTTGACAATTAATTGCATAGTTTTTATGTTTCTTGTTCAAGTAAACTAATATTACATATATTCTTAGAAATAAATGTTTCTTTAAAAATTTAACTTACTTCGAACTTGGTTTTTTATTTTTATACCTCTTCCTACTATGAACTTCTTCTTTTCTTTCTATGGTATCTTTTTGATAAAATAGTGAATAATAGACTTTGGAATGAACTAGTTCAATTATATTTACAAAAATTCACTGATGGTGTAATAATAAAATATTTCGATATCAAAAAGTCATAGACCCATGGACGTAAAAAGGTCAAATTTTGTTTAGGGGAGACTAAATTGAGTTTTATCTTCTCCTAATGTGGCGGTCAAACATTCTAGAGTTTTGAGACAAGGTTGCCAGCTTGCAACGTGTTATAAATACTTTTTGAGTATCTTACAGTGTTTTATTATTTTTGTGCAATTGTTTATTAATAAACGTCATTACTCATTAAACGAGTTGGTTAATCATTGATTTTATTTACACATTGGTGACCTCGAAAATAAAATAGTTATGTCCATAGAAGAATCAATTGGAGGCGTTACGCCAAAAAAAAAAAGCTCGCCTTGGAACTCTACAAGCACAGAAAAATTTAATGGCTTCAATAAACCGTGTTGCAGTTACGTTGCGCCCTTTTTGGACCGAAAGACCGAGTTTACGGTTTTCTCAGGTGGACTCATAGTCTGCAATCTCCAAACATTTTTTTTCTTAAGTGATAGGCTTAGTATTATGTTAAATTATAAAAATTCCTGAAAAAAAATGTGCTATAGGAATATGCATATTTATTTTTTATATCCATGAAATTGAAAATTTATATATATATAAGTATAAAAAAAGATCTGTTGAGCAATACAGAGAAATTGTATTATTAATAAGTAGGATAAGTTTTAGTATAATTTATAATTATTTTGGTCATTTTTATCTTGCAGTTAAGAACATGTATCAATGTATAATCAATTTTTTTTAAAAGCCAAAAAAACTAAAACTTTTATATACCGATAATTTGTCAAAAATTACAAAGTGCAAATAATAAATTGTTTACATAATTATTTAGACACACTATGATAATATATGCAAGAAATGCTCAACCCACGTTGATATTGAAAAGGGATTTACATGAATACTCTAAACTAATATTAAAAACTGTCTTAAATTTAGATGTAAAAGAACCATTTATTTGAAAACCTATGCAAACTGTGATGTAATTTAAAGAAATATTAAACTATTTTTAATGTATTAGTTATACAGTTTGTATATTGCAGTGAAATACAAAACGACTTATTTTTTTCCTCGTGGAATAAGTTAAGATACCCTGAACTTATCTAGTTGTTACAATTGCCATATTAATATATACTGAGGTTGAGTTTTTCACCAAATTCTGCAACATATTAATTTTCATTTACACATGATCAAAAGTTTATTGAAAGTTTTTAAAAATTTTCTTTCTGTTCATTGAAAATATTGCATGTGATAAATATTTTTATAATACTACAGTATTTATGTCATGTTTTAAATACATGGTTCATTTAAGTATAGTTTTCAAAAGTCAAATGACTGCGTGAAAAATTATATTATTAATGTATTATCCCATAATTTCACTTTAACATTTAAACATTGGTTTTTTTTTTATATAATAAAGAGTTTTTTGTAATTTAATGATAATGGTATTAAAGTACTATTAAATATGCTGGATTACAATTTTTTTTTTTCATGGTAAATACAAGTTAATTGAACTATAAGAGTAGTTAACAAATAATTATTTCAACAGTAAAAATTATTTGAATATTTGATACTTCATTTAAATATCAAATCATACCAACAAATGCATGTATTTTTTAATTTTAAATATATATATTAAATACTAAGTATTTAATGTATATTAGTTACAACATTTTGTGTGTGTAAGAAATTATGTAGAAGGGAGAGCAAGGGAAATAGTTGAGGGTTATAAAATAATATACTCAGGTAAGGCTAATGCAAAGTATAGTGTAGAGATAATAATGGATGAAAAGAACTAACATATAAGAGGGAGTATAGGTGTACCATCAATAGTGGATAAGATGAGAGGCAATAGTCTTAGATGGTTTGGTCATGTTATGAGGAGAGAGGAATCGGAGGATGTAAGAACAGTTATAGAAATGAATATTGAAGAAATAAGAGGTAGACTAAAAAAGAGATGAAGGAATGTAATTGAATGCGATATGAGGACGGCTAATGTGAGCGTAGGAGATCGTGTCAAGTAGAAGTTTAAGATAAGGGTAGCCGACCCCCAGTAGTTGGGAATAAGGCAAGAAAAAAGAAAAAGATTGCGTGAGTCATAAATAAGCATACATCCTGTATATAAACTACGATTTAAGATATATTTAAAGTTTTCAGAATTTTTAGAATATCTTCTAAAATTTAAACAGTAAA